GTCAGGAGATCAAAGGTTGGGGGGCAGTTGATGGGACATTTCCAAATACTCCAAGATGAAGACACATGTCCTCGGCATCAGTAAATTCTTATTACTGTAATCACGAAACGTACCCGTCGGATCACAAGTCCTTCTTCTCCCGAGGTACTGTTCATAGGGATCAATGACACCCAGTACGTTACGTACCGACACGTATCCCTCGGCGGATATGGGGTACATCGGTCCCTACATGTACCACTACCATCGGTCCCGAGATGTACCCATCTAGAATGACATTCTCTACTCCTGCAGAGGCTATTGATGTACAGGTCACTAGCCTAGGCTAGGCTAGGTTAGCCATCATGACCTCGTCTTACACAATTAGTGTCAGAAAACACAGGAAGGCAGAAGACACAGCCAATGGGGAATGGGCGCGTGGTATATTGTGTCACATCAGAGACAAAAAGACCTGATGCCCTTGCTGACACACGACTTGGGAAAACAAGCATTTAATTAGACCATTCCGTTGATAAGACAACATTTAATGCGGTAAGGCTCGGAAGAGAAAGATAATAAATGTCCCTGAGACTGGACATTTATTACACCCTTGCCGAGAGGAGCTCATTAAACATTCGGCAGGCCGATGACGCAGCATTGGTTGCTCGGGGTCCCGAGCAGTTAAGAGAGAAGACATTCCTCATAGGAATCAGTGTGCACGTTGCCCATATCTAATGATCATCTACTGACCACACTGACAGCAATCATGAGTTTTTGAGGTATAAATACTCCTCGCAAAAGGCAAGACGGTATGCAACAGAAAAACCTTTTCTCAAATCTATACTTAGTGTTTTCTTCTTCCCCTTTCTCAAAATCTGACTTGATCGTCGGAGGGGATACGCAAAAAAACACTCCGGCGCCCTTCTAACTTGCCTTTCTCTATTCCAGGAACATCCCTCAGCCTTACTGGACCGCTTCTTTGATCCACGAAAGTCACCCATTATCTTTCCAGACCACCAACGGATCTCAGCCTATTCCAAATAGCTAGGTTGACCGTTTGATTGACTGACTCGAGTTCACCACGGGAGAGATCTGTTCTCGTGTTTATATTGTGCAAGATCCTGCACGCACAGTTATTAAGGATTACGCGACCCATCAATAAAGCAGACCATATGTATCTATTTGATAATGATCTAAATTTATTACGACTATTTTTATATCCATGTATTTAGAGTCAATTTTGTATCAAATTGACTAATCATGTAAGAACTGTTGAATCTAGAAATGCTTAGTGGTTCTAATGTAATCAAACTTGATAAGGATATTAGCTTAAATGTCTCTTTCACACCTCATCTTTCATTGCAAAGAAAAAAAATTAACTCTAAAGGTGTTTCAAGTAGTAACAGAGATGAAATATAAATGTAGACGTTACGAGTTCGAATTTTAGTAATCTCTTTTATCCCTCATTAATACCTTATTTCCAGCATAGATTGTTTGCATTTTTTCGGAGTAGAGAAAAAATTAGTCGAGATGTGCATAAACTGATTCGAACACTCTTAACCGTTGAACAAGTAATAATAGGGACGAACTGTAAATTTAGACTTCATGAGTTCGAATCTTTACTATCTCTTAGGTTCATGTCATGAAAAAATTACCTTTCATTAATACCTTAATTCTAGTGTGGATGATTTATTTTTGACCAAAAAAAAAATTAATTGAGATATGCATAACTGGGTTAAACACCTTTAACCATATTTTGGTCTCATTCAGAAGGAATAAAGTCAAATATGTGATAAATTTAGTTAAAAGCACTTAGCTGGAAGCACAATACCCAATTAAAAGCATAAACCTCACTTTCATGATTTTTTCATATTCCTTGCTTTTTGTTCAATAATTCATGCCTTTCCAAGCTTCAATTCTATCCTCAGTTTATAGGGCTTAGTGTGGCAATGAGGCAAAAATTACCTGGCCTCACTAGTCACAGTTTATCAATTGTCTTTTAGTTTTAGAGTCAATTTTGGTGATCTTTATCTGTAATTCCATATTTATGCTAGTCACACTTCCACTTGGTCCAATTGCTTTGTCTCCTTAGTCACCTCTCTCTCTCTCCATATTTATCCTAGTCACACTTCCACTTGGTCCAATTGCTTTGTCTCATTAGTCACCTCTCTCTCTCTTTCTCTTACTCACACATACACCCACACACCCCCAACAACAATAATATATATCAATACTTCTATATATATATAACGACCAATTTTTTAGGGAATGAGTGGAAAAAAGTAAAAGGTGAAAATATTCATTACAACGGTAATATCATATGACAATGTGATGTGGTATCACCAATTAATAATATTAAAATAAATAAATAATTAGACTCCACAAAAATTAATAATTAATCTGTCATGTAAACAAATAAAGTAATGCTATTTGTACCTATAAATTTGACCTAATTTGCTGATATAATGATGTGATTTCATATGAATCATTGTATCAACACCAAATTCCAATGTTTGATGGGCCTACAATCAATCCAAATGTCACAGTGAATTAGGTTAAATAATTATGTCTCAATAACACTGCTCAAACAAATAACTCTCTACTCTTTCTCCATGTAAGTTCAAATAGGGTTCATCTTACCCATTTGAAATTTTATTATTTGTTGGTAATGCTATGTCATCAATGGTGAAATGATATCACCATTACATTCATTATTTACTCGAAGAATGGGAATTGAGAGGGATAATGATATTTCTTGTCTTATGAAGGTTTTTGGTTTTAACTAATGAGTCTTTAGTCCAATGATATTCCTTACCTTATAAAAAATTTTACTTTCTTGAGATCAAGGTTTCAAACCCCTTCCCCCCAAAAAAATATATATATAAAAAAAGGAGGATAAGGGATCGGCCCGTGTATAACAAGCAGTTGGACGCTAGTGTGTGAGTGTATATATATATTTATTTATTTATATAACTTTTTACATTTTATATAGACCGTTAGAATATTTATAAATCGTTAAATACGATTCAAAACTAACACAAAATGAGAGTTATAATTTAATATTTTTTGACACGAAATCCAAAAATGGCATGAACCATTTTAAAATAAAATTATACTTTTAATTTTTTTTCATTTATTGAATTGATATTATATGAATCCTTGTGGGGTTAAACAGTAAGTTTTACAAATAGTTGAATCAAGTAGATGACGAATTTTGTTGAAAGAAAAATGAGTCATGATTCTAGGTTTCACTGTGTTGGATAATTAATTCCAAGTAGTGATGTTTACATATTCTTTTTGTTGCTTGAATTAGTAGCAACATGAACTTGGAATCAATAATGGCAAATCCTTCAAGTGGATCACGTGTCGAATTTTCCAAATGTTCCCCCCCCCCCAAAAAAAAAAAAAAAAGAAAAGATAAAAGAAAAAGAAAAATAGAAAAAAAGAAGACAACTCGTGACAATAAATTTTGGAAAGTGATTCTTTGAAAAAATAATAGTAGGTCAAGTGTTGAGTAAATCTTAATCCCAATGGGTAATTTAACCGATAACATGATCAAGTTGTAAACTTAAAAGTTTAGAGTTCGAATTTTGATAACTCTTTAGGGTCAGACCATAAAGAATTTATCTCTTATGAATATCAAAGTTCTTGTGTAGACGTCTTGTCTTTAACTGGATTAAAAAAAAAATTAGTCGAGGTGCACGTAATTGACTTGAATATCACTGATCGTTGAAAAAAATTTTTAAATCTTGCAAGTGATGCACCTCATTTGTAATTGGTATATAAAATCATAATAGATTAAAGGATAACATTACCCTAATTAAAAAATAAAAAATAAAAGACTAAACATAAGGACAAAATAATGTGACAACATACATGATAAATAAACCTTCAATTGTAAACGAGTAAAATTAAAATAAAAAAAAATATTACTGTAAAATCCCATCATTTGATTCCAGTTATTTTTCATATATTTTTTTTGTTAGTTTGATATTATCTATAATTATTATAGGAGCCTTAAATGATGATTTGGATCATAAGTTTTGAAGTGGTAGACATTTAGATGTCTCACATATTGAAATTTTGCAAAAAATAATAAGTACCCCAATTATGTCCCCCATCAATTATAATTCCTCTATTACTTTTTTGTCAAAAAGTTAGAAGTCGTTATTTTTGAATAATTTTTTTTATTAATTAAGAGGTATGTGAATTAGTCTCTTAAAATATCCAACTAATCTTTTCATATAAGTATATTCCATTTATATCGTATGGTATCAAGTAATTACTAAGATAAATCTTTAAGAGGGATTCAATTGAAAAACTTAGAACTCAAAATCTTCGGTTTTATAGGCAAATCTTGGTCAATCTATGTGGTCAAACTAAAATAAATATTTGATTTTTTGGGTAAATAATTTTTGAGTAAATATTATTTAAACTTAATTTATTAAATTAATTTGTTAATTTAATCTATGACTATTAAAATAGTTATGGTGATAAAAAATATTGGAACCCACCGTTGATTCAAATATATACTTGCAATGTATTGTTTGCCTGTTATTTTACAGGACAAAAGTGGTTCTTTATTAATTACACATTCACGTTGAATATTTTCTTTTACCGTTAAAGATAAGATATTCTCTTTCCCTAAAAGCAATTTTGTGTCGAAATTACAGACTAATCCCCTTGCTTAAAAAAAAAGGCTAACTTTAAGTGAAAATGTAGGGGCATTTTCGTAATTTTAACTACTTTTTTTTTTTTATTAAATTTTTTTAAATATAGCTGGTGTTGCCCGCGTTGCTTTCTTTCTTTCATGTCAGTTAGGTAGCTCTTTTAAGGCATCACCTTCCTCATTCTTACTTACTTTATCTCTCTAGATTATTCCTCTCTCTCTCTCTTTCACCCCCCCACCCACACACACACACACGTGTGTGTGTGTATATGATTGACTATATGAAGTAAACGTGTCGAAGTTTCTCTCTATCTTCTATTGGTGCTCTGAGGTAGTGAAAAATTGGTTGCTGGGTACGACGAAAAGTCACTCCAGTCTGAAACATTGATTGTCTGATCACTCATCTGGTAATTCCATGTATTCTGTTTTTCTTTCCAAACTTAAATTCATGTGAACTCTTTCTGTTCTGATCTATTGGATTGCTGAGAAAAGAGAGAGAAAGAAAACTTGAAACATGTTGAAATTGGCTATTTTGTTCAGTGAAATTGGGATGTTCTTCGCTTGGAAAGAAGTTTAGGAGGTTAGTTTTTGGGGTTTTACTTGGAGCATGTATATATGTTTGTGTTTGACTGTAATTCTTCTTTCTCATTGAGGAATGAAACCGAGGGTTTCTTTTTCTTTTTTTTTTCCCTTCGGTGAATTCGATTGTTTTTTTGATGAAAAACGATTTAAGGCTTTTACTGGTTTGAGTTCTGGCTGGTAAGAAAAGATGGGAAAAGAAAACTTCAAACATATAGAAAGATACTATCTTTTTCTATAGTAATTCGTTTTTTTTTCCCCGGGAACCAAAAGGGGATTTTTGTTATTGGGATGAGTGAAGTTGAAGTCTTCTGCAAGAGGTTTATATATTTAGTGATGTGGGTTTCTTATGATTTCAATGATTTTTCACAGGTGAATTACAGGGACTTTTAGTTCCTTTGCAGAGGATTTGATAGGAAAATGGCTTACCAAAGAAGGGGGTCTGATCAGCAGCCGCAGAGGCGGATTCTGCGGACTCAGACCGCTGGTAATCTAGGGGAGTCTATGATGGATAGTGAGGTAGTACCATCATCTCTGGTTGAAATTGCACCAATTCTTCGTGTTGCCAACGAAGTCGAGGGCAGCAACCCCGGGTTGCTTACCTATGTAAGTCCCAATTTCATGTTTTACTTAACAAGCCCATACAACATGGGCGTGCCCACTTTAATTACTGTAATCTTCCAAGCCCCTTGACAAGTTTGATTTTCATAGCATGCGAACAAGTGGAATGTGTATACACTAATCAAATAGACTAGAAAGCAGTTATTACCTGGTCAAAATCATTTGGTTGTATGAAAATTATTTAGGTTATTATTTTCTTTGACAATTAGTGCTAGCTTGTATCATAAGTTGGGTTTAAATGCCAAGTAACATGAAAAAGGGGGTGGCTGACACTAAAAAGGGATAGCTATATAAGTGTCCAGGACATGCTTTGATTGTTGATTAAGTCTCTTCGTACATGTATGAAATGAATGTGAAGTTTTAATATATGCCATAATGCCAAGGGGAGAGTCGGTGCTTTCGAATTTTTGGTAGGACATATGTTTCAACGTATTCTGTTAGTATTGTTTCACCGTCAGGCGTAACTAGGCGAATTGAAATTCTCACCAAAAAAAATGTTTCTTTTTTAAAGTGATATTGTTATACTCATACCCCATCATTCAATTCATTTTACTATTTCTTTGATTTCACTACATTTGTCTGGGGGATTTGAGAGCAATTTGTTATTTTGCCCATTAGTTCCCAGTTGTATGGCATATCACTTTGATATAGGGCAATGGTCAGGACAATCTCTTCTTTCTTAGCTTTTAAAATTTGATAAGTTTTATGACTTTTTTAATTCTAGTTATTTTACTGATTAATAACCTTTTTAGCTACCTTGCTTATTGTAAAGTAACTAACTATAATAATAGATTGTGCTAGACTTTCGGATTTTATCTTTCTTGTTCTCCCTCCCTCCAACAACCCCCAGGTCAATGTTCTTTTTTCCCCTTAACTTGAATGCTTAAGTGTACTCTAAATATATCATTTCCTTTGCTGGAATCAGGTCGGTTTTATGCATTTGAGAAAGCACACAGACTGGATCCAACATCAAGTGGACGTGGAGTTCGACAGTTTAAAACTGCCCTTCTTCAGCGCTTAGAAAAGGTACTCAATGTTTCACGTCCTAAATCTAACGTACTTGTCATTCTGCTTTTCTTTTTTGGTTTTTGAATTTTTGGTCAGCAACCTAGTAGGAGTGGGAGTGATATCAACCAGAATCAGCAACCCAATTGCTCCCGAACAACTTACCATGAAACATCCCCCTTTTTGAAATATCATTCTTAAATGAAAATGAACAACCAAATGGTTATGAGGAAAGATGAAGTGCTGGTCAGTATGACATCATCGTGCGGACGTTGCTGTCAGTACTTCTCTCACATTTGTTGATGATTTCCAGATTATTTTGTTGCCTTTTGGACTTCAATTAGAAACTTTGATACCAAGATGGAATGCACCCCTTGTTGATAATTAGGTTTTTAAAGGTGAGAGAGAGACGAAGAGGGAAGAAGACAGTGAAAATATGCAATATATTCCCTCTCTGCCGAGGAACTAAATTTCGTTTCGAAATGGTTGAAACCTTCGAAATGTTTTCGATTTCATGGAAACTGAAACGAATCATTGATTGAATATTAAAATTCGTATGGTTCAATAGGTTTCGAGGTGTTTTGGCATCTTTTGACCTATGTTTCCGACGGTATGTTTTGGAAGTAAATTTTAAATTTTTTTTTTGTTTCCATCTTATTTTTGAAACATTATCGAAACGTTGCAGTTTCCAAGCTTACTGAACTATACACCGAAACAAAATTTTGATCCGGTATTATTATATTAGGTACGGTGAAAGATGACAATAATGCCACATTCTAGAATATTCTCACAAAATCTAACACAATCATTTTTGAATAACTAGGCCCTTCATTTGCTTGAATGGAATCATCAGAACAAGGAAATAATCTCTGCATTCGGGCAAAAAAATTGTCTACAGAGTATTTTTGTAAGACTTAAATTTCATCAGTAAGTACTACCACTGTTGTGGTCATCCATCAAAGTTACAAAATACCTTTTATCTGGGAGATGGAGTGGTATAATTACCCTTATTAGAGGAATCGGCATAATAGCTTAAGCTTTTTGGTGGAAATTTAATTAAAACAAACTACTTCTGACATGGGCTTTTAAAATTTTAGACATTACAGATGGATGCAATATTTTACCCCATTTATTCAACTGATCCACTTCATTGTTTTGAAAAATACTATTTAACATCCGCAAGGCATATGAAAAATGTCATGTTGCCTAATTCTGTTCTCCAGTTGCACTTTCATATGATAGTTGACTTTGTTTGTAACACTGTTTATTTTTGTGCATTTTCTTCCTTAAAATAGCTCGCATTGCTTGAAAAGATTTTTATGATTGTGTCTATTTGTTAACGACATCTTGTTCCATTTCTTTTCTATAGTTTCCATTTAGTGCTTCCCTTGTAAGATTATCCTTACTTGATTGTTTTTTCAGGAAAATGAATCGACAGTTGCAGGACGTACAAAAAGTGATGCTCGTGAAATGCAAAGTTTTTACCAGCACTACTACCGAAAGTATATCCAGGCATTGCAGAATGCTTCTGATAAAGCTGATCGGTAAATCATCTAGCATCATTGTTGCCCATTCAGATTATATGCTGTTGAATGTTTGCTTTATTGATGTATGATATATTTAATAGGAAATTTTCATTCCCCCTAATACAGTGCCCGGCTTACAAAGGCATATCAGACTGCTGCGGTGCTATTTGAGGTTTTGAAAGCTGTTAATTTGACAGAATCTGTTGAAGTGGCTGATGAGGTAACGTCAGTTTTTGGGTTATGATATTGAATGTTTTCAATTTATGTCTGGGAACTGTTATACTGAAGTCTTTCAAGGCTAATAACAAGCCTCTTCCCTTTCAAGACTTCCATGTGCCGATGGTGATTATGGTTTGGATTGGATGTTAGATGAAATCACTTATATCTTTTTTCTTGTTCATGCAAATAAGAGAGGGTTCATATTCATAAGAAATGGATAAACAGAAATCTAAGAACACTTGATGCAAACAAAAGCAGCAAATAAGCTGTTTAACCGAAAATGAAGTGCTGGAAATCTCAAACTAGCAAAGTAAAACAAGAACCCTACTAGAAACGACTGCTTTAGTTGGTGTTGAGTAACAAGGATCAAGTACTTTTCTCAGAACTTGGAAAATAGCAGGCAGTGTGCAGACCTGAAAACTGTTGGAGAAAGATTTTCTTCTAAACAAAGCCATTACAGTATTTTTGCATGTAAACCCTCAAAAGGGCTGCATAATTCCCAATAACCCCCAAACATGACTTTTACATAAGCAGGCTCAAAACCACTGGAATTGCTCAGTTCAGCTTGGGCCAAATTAGGTCTTAAAATCTGAAATGACAAAACATTCACAAAGTTAATTTTTTTTGCACAAAGAATCATATTTCATAACTTACTCTTCCTTTTTGGTTAATATTTGTATGTATATATATGTAGATTTTGGAAGCTCACACTAAGGTTGCGGAAAAGACAGAGATATATGTGCCCTTTAATATACTTCCTCTTGACCCTGACAGTTCAAATCAGGCAATTATGAGATACCCTGAGGTTGGTTTCTAGTTTCTTGCCAAGTACTCTTACATTGACAAAGTATAGACTTTTGCCATGCTCTTCTCATACATTCGTAGTTTAATTGCAGATTCAAGCTTCTGTTACTGCGCTTCGTAATACCAGGGGTCTTCCATGGCCAAAGGGTCACAAGAAGAAAGTAGATGAAGACATTCTAGACTGGCTTCAGGCTATGTTTGGTTTTCAGGTAACCTACCTGGTTCCAACTCAAATTCAACACAACATAGTTAAGCTTTGTACTAACTATTTAGGGGTAGGCAACATGAATACTATTTTGCCCTTTTGTTTTGTGGCATATTTTTGCTATCTCATTCAGTGTGAATTTCTCTCTCTCTTTATCCTTTGTATTACTATAGATATGGTATCACGTCATGCTTTATCACTTGCACAATATTAGGTCTTTTGTAAACGTGTCCAAACCACCTGACTTTATTCTTTCTTGCTTAATCTTCCATTTCAGCTGCAACCACTTCTTGACGAATATGCTAGTCTCTGATTCTATCATTATCATCACAAATCCTCATTTATGTGAAACGAAGTTTTTTTGCGTGTTATTTCTTAATTGACTAGAATTTGATACCACAAAACATCACTGATCTTATGGCTGTCATTACTAGATATGTGCCGATCACATAATCTATTGGTGCGCCTTCAAGCAAAAAATGAAATAGAATAAAGTAGAAACTTTGTTAACTTGCGTTCACTTGTTTTGATATGTTTTCCGCATAATTAATGCAGAAAGATAATGTGGCAAATCAAAGGGAACACCTAATTTTATTGCTTGCAAATGTGCACATTCGACAGTTCCCAAAGCCTGATCAGCAACCTAAGGTATCATGCCTTGCAAAATTTTTTCTTTGCAGAATACCTATTGTTTTCAAAATAATGTACTTGTACATTGCTCCTGCTTAGTTGGATGACTGCGCACTGACAGAAGTCATGAAGAAACTCTTCAAAAACTACAAAAAATGGTGCAAATACCTTGGTCGCAAAAGTAGCCTTTGGTGCGTTAAATCCAGTTTATTTGTTTATGGTCCTCTTGTGATTGGTGTCTTTATAATGAATAGTGATATATCCAATTTATTATATGGCAACCTGACATGTTATCATAGAATTACCTGAAGACTTTTTTTTTTTTGATGCTATTGTCATATGATGTGGTTGCTCTTTACCTGCAGGTTGCCAACCATTCAGCAGGAAGTGCAGCAACGGAAACTGTTGTATATGGGTCTATATCTTCTCATATGGGGCGAAGCTGCAAACTTGAGATTTATGCCGGAATGCCTATGCTATATTTATCATCATGTACGTATTGACATGTTCAATCTTCCAATCCATATGACCTACATGAATGTAGTAATAACTTTTCTTCCTAACATGAGCTTTTTATAGTTTGACATGTGTCTCCTCTATATCATTATGTCTCAAATAACATATTTGAGAATATCTTGTGACACACATTCTGGCAATCTACTGGTGTATCTGTTCTTGCATACACGCTGGCACTCTACGTGCTATGATCTATTCTAACTTATAAGAAACAACTTCAATTTAGTTTTAGTGTTTAGAATGGAGGAGAGGCAAAAGAGAAGAGGTTAGAGAAATAGGGTTTTGGAGAATGAGAGTTAACATAACTCTCCTCTCGCACCCATATTTATATTAACTCATAATAGGCTGCAAATTACATTTATTCCCCTAATTAAAACATCCTAACATTCTACACTCTCTCTCAAGTTGGAGTATAGATATTTTTTATGCCCAACTTGCATACATTTGAATGAAAAATTCTACTACTAAGTCCCTTAGGAAACACATTGACTAATTTCTCTTTGATAGCCACAAAGAGTATATAAATTAACCCATCATTTAGCTTCTCTTTGATGAAGTGTCCGTCAATCTCAATGTGTTTTGTTATATCATGTAGGATTGAGTTATGAGCAATATTTATGGCAGCCATATTATCACAATACTGACGCATAAGTTCACTATTAGAGACACCCAAGTCTTCCATTAATGTTTTCAGCCACATAAGCTCACAAATACGATGAGCCATATCATTGTATTTTGTCTCTGCACTAGATCTAGACACCACTGCGTGCATGCTCTGCCAAATTACTAGATTTTCTCTTTCAAAGGTGCAGCAACCTGTAGTAGACCTCCTATCATCAATTGAGCTTGCCCATTTTGCATCTGTGAAGGCATTTAACTTTAGGTGATCCTATTTTGAGAACAATAGTCTTTTGTCTGGAGACTGCTTGAGGTACCTCGGTATACGATGGACTATCTCTTGATGAGGAACTCGATGAGCATGCATGAACTGATGACTAACAACACTCACTACATATGCTATGTCTGGACGACTGTGAGAAAGGTGTATGAGTCTCCCAACAATCCTCTTATATCTTTTTCTATCAATATGATCATTTCTCAGTTTGTGGTTTGTCTTAATGGGTGAGTTTGCAGGTCTACAACCTAGCATACCGATTTCCTTCAGAAGATCATGGATATACTTTTTCTATGAGATGAAAATTTTTTTATTCGATCTGACCACTTCAATCCCTAAGAAATAACGTAAACGCCCCAAGTCTTTGATCTCAAATTCTTTTGTAAGGTGAACTTTCAGTTTGACCACTTCTTCTACATCGTCACCTGTGAGTATTATGTCATCACATATACTATAAGAACTGAGATCTTACCACACTCTTGGTTGATGAATATTGTGTGATCTATATGACTTTGTTGGTAACCAAACTTAACCATTGCCTTATGGAATTTATCGAACCAAGCTCTTAGAAACTACTTTAATCCAGTAAGAAATTTCTTTAACTTACATACTTTTACCTCAGTCGCTGGTGAAGAGAACCCCTATAGAATATCCATGTACACTTCCTCTTCTAAGTTTCCACGAAAAAATGTATTCTTTAAGTCCAGCTATTGTAGATCCCATCCCAGATTGGCAGGACAAGAAAGAATGACTTGAATGGAATTCATCTTAGCTACAGGGGCAAAAGTCTCATGATAATCAATGCCATATGTTTGAGTAAACTCCTTAGCTACTAGTCTTATCTTGTATCTATCCATTGCACCATCCACATTTTATTTAACAGTGAACACCCATTTATAACCTATTGATTTTTTTTTCAGTCGGAAGATATACAAGTTCCCAGGTTACATTTTGTTCAAGAACTCTCATTTCTTCTACCATGTCTGTTTTCTATTTGGGCTTTGTAAGGGTTTTATTCCAATTTTGAGGAAGAGATATAAAAGATAAAGATGAAACAAAAATACGATAGAAGGAAGACAGAGAGAACAAATTTAGAAACAGAATGTTGGATAGAAGTCCGAACTCCTTTCTGAATAACAATAGGTAAAGAACTATCATCAACAAAATTATTACAAAGAAGCTCCCTACCTGATGTAGGGGAGGAGATCTCAGGAACTGAGTCAAGAGATGATGACTGAGTTGGTGGCTCATGGGTGGTGATCTGCTTAGTTGTCGTCGAGTATAGCACTGCAAATAATCTCAGTCTAATCTGCCACAATTAGTCTGCTTCCTCAAAAATAGATGTTTCTCCCTGATGCTCTCCCAAACTAGATTTCTTCCCCAGACTCAAGCATTGATTAGAAGGTAAGAGAAGGAATCCATCCTCTAGCATCTTTTCCTGAATACACATCTCCCATTTTTTCGTTCACTATTAGGCTGAAAAGACATTCGTGGAACAACTTCTAAAGCCGATCGATCATTGGCAGGATTATGAAGCATAACACTCCTCCTACCATACATAAGCTTATGCTTGCCTAAAAGAAGGAAAGGATCTCCGCCCGAAACCTGTAAATGGTTCTGATAATATCTCTATATTGAGACTTGAAAGAAAATCATATACTCGTTCTTTCTCATCCAATTTCTGAAACTTAGCGTTATCTTCAGCATAATCCACTTTAAAATCCTGATAATAATCCAGTTCTTGCCACATACTATTCAGTCCTGCATAATAATCTGCAATAATTATATCCTTCTGTTTGATTTCATGAATCTTTTTTCGGAGTTCATAAATCTGAGCATCATTCCTAACTTGTGAATAAGTTTGCGTTGCAGATAACCAAATCGCTAGTACTATCTTAAGAAACAAAAACCACGATTGATGTGTGTCTGCATCGAGTTATGTATGTGATTTGAGTTTCTTACTTACCTTGATCAAGTATCCATTTAATTCACTTACCCGCATGGATAACAGACATCATCGTGATCAGGCCAAATAGTTATTCCCATATAACTTTACTAGATTTATCAGGAGGACCCCTACATTCAAGAGCCCCTACAGACACAATCCACTTTTCTCAGCACTCGTAGAATCCGTACTAGCCTCCCAACATATCTACCCAACAAAATAGGAACCTTTCTCATAAGCAACGAACAATTGAACAACAATCAGAGCTAACCTAACACAAAACAAGAGAAAACCAGCCATCTGTAGCACAAAACACCAAAAACAACACAAAAAAGGCTAGCCTAGCACAAAAAATTGGCAAACTTGCCATTGCAGCACCCCAAATCCTTCATAAACTCCACACAATCACCTGAGCCCAGTGTCGACAGCAAAGGAGTAAACACAAAGAGGCTTGCCGGTGGTGAACCAGTCGAGCCAAAGTTCAAGAAACCTCCACTATCGAAAACTATTGGACAATCCACCAGAGTCCTTGTATACTCCCGTCGGCACCCATAAATAGGTTTAGGGTAGGTAGTTTGGTCCCAAACTCTGGCAAATAGTATATCTCAAAATATGATCCGTAAAATTCGAAAATCATTCAAAAATTAAAAAATAATACCAGATGGCTTCAAAAAATTCCAAAAAAATACAATAGTACTCAAGATAAAAAATCGAGCTAGACCATATCACATTTGATAAGCTCTGGCCCAACAAGTGTCTAAGCCCTTTATGAGTGTCTTGGTAACTCCAAATTTCGATTGATCGCTCTGATATCAAGTTGCAAATTTAATTTTAGGGTTTAGAATAGAGAAGAAGCAAGAGAGAAAAAAGGAGAAGAAAGAGAATAGAGAAATAGGGGCCATGTTTGGTTAGCATCTGCAAAACAATTTTTTGTTCTCAAAATTTTTAAAATACCAAAAATCTGTTTGTTTAGCATTTTTTGTTTTCAAAATTTTCAAAAAAAAATGAGATTT